TTCTTCACTGAAAGGAACCAGGGCTCGGAGAAACACCTGACTTCAGGATTGGGGCAGGAATGGTACTCTGGAAGATCTTGCTGTGCCAAAAAAAGGAGGTGCTCAAAGAACAATGAGGACATGTCAAATGGATACAGAAGACATCTTGAAGGGCTTCCTGCAGGCTAATATTGAGACAATTTGAACATCTAAAAAAAATAATGGCCAGGCGCAGCGGCTCACACCTGTAATCCCAGTACTTTAAGAGGGCGAAGTGGTTGAGCTTGAGACCAAGAGCTCAAGACCAGCCTGGGCAACACAGTGAAACCCCTATCTCTACAACAAAATTTAAAAATAGCTGGGTATAGTGGCATGTGATGTAGTCCCAGCTACTCAGGAGGCTGAGGCAGAAGGATTGCTTGAGCCCAAGAAGTTGAGGCTGCAGTGAGCCAAGATCACGCCACTGCACTCCAGTGAGCAACAGAGCGACACCCTGTCTCAAAAAAAAAAAAAAAGAAAATATCAGATGTGCACCCATAAAAAATGATGAGTTCATGTCCTTTGCAGGGATGTGGATGAAGCTGGAAACCATCATTCTCAGCAAACTAACACAAGAACAAAAAACCAAACACCACATGTTCTCATAAGCAGGAGTTGAGTAATGAGAACACGTGGACACAGGGAGGGGAACATCACACACCAAGGCCTGTCAGGGAGTGGGTGGCTAGAGGAGGGATAGCATTAGGAGAAATAGCTAAAGTAGATGACAGGTTGATGGGTGCAGCAAATCACCATGGCATATGTATACTTATGTAACCTGCACGTTCTGTACCTGTATCCCAGAACTTAAAGTCTAATTTTAAAATAAATAAAATATCAGATGTAATCCATTGAACAAAACGGTAATTTGTGAGTCCATGCTGATTAAAATAAAAGAATAAACAGAGACATAGCCAAGTGCGGTGGCTCACGCCTGTAATCCCAACACTTTGGGAGGCCAAGGTGGATCGCTTCGAGCTCAGGAGTTCAAGACCAGCATGGGCAACATGGCAAAACCCTGTCTCTACAAAAAATACAAAAATTATCCAGGCATTGGTGACATGCGCCTGTAGTCCCAGCTACACAGGAGGCTGAAGCTGGAGAATCGCTTAAGCCTGGGAAGTGGAGGTTGCAGGGAGCTGAGATTGTGCCACTGCACTCCAGCCTGGGGGACAGTGAGACCCTGTCTCAAAAGAAAAAAAAGAGAAACTTCTCTTTATAGTAGAGTACCAATAGATGAATGTAGTCAGAATAATGATATTAGAAAATCACCAGTTGGCAATCACCATAGCAAAAATTAATCCGGCCAAGAAACATCAATTGCTAAAACTAGTGTATGAAAGTTTGATGAGGAACAGCATTTACACAGTCTCAAAGTCCTCCCTGCAAAATGCTTCCTGATGATTACAAAAGGAAAAACTACATTGGAGAAACCTGGGAGACCCCACTTCATTCAAGTTATCACAGTTAATCACAGTTCACATAACCAGTGCTGGGACAAATCAACATTGTATAACATTTGATACAAATGCAATATGAACATAGCTTCACTTCAGTGATATTCTTCATAAAAATGCATAATGTGAATCTAATCATGAGGAAACATCAGACAACATTGTTCCCATAATGTTCTTTTATGGCGATTTTTTTTTTTTTTTTCTGATCCAGGATTCAGTCCGGATAGATGTAGCTTCTGAATAGAAATTAAGGGATATTCTTCACCATAATTGGTCAGTAATCTTCAAAAGTCAAGTTCATTAAAATCAAGGAAATACATAGAACCGTTTCAGGTTGAAGGAGCCTAAAAGAGACATGACAACTAAATGCAATATGAGATCTCAACTAAACTATATCTGGTTTTCCTTTTTGTGTTTTTTGTTTTTTGTTTTGTTTTTATTTTGAGACAGAGTCTTGTTCTGTCTCAAAGCTAGAGGGCAGTGGCGTGATCTTGACTCACTGCGATTTCCGCCTCCCGGGTTCAAGGGATTCTCGTGCCTCAGCCTCCAGAGTAGCTGGGATTACAGGCCTGCCCCACCATGCCCAGCTATTCTTTTTGTATTTTCATGAGAGACAGGGTTTCGCCATGTTGGCCAGGCGGGTCTCTAACTCCTGGCCTCAAGTGATCTGTCCGCCGCAGCCTCCCAAAGTGCTGGGAGTATAAAGTATGAGCCACCACTCCTGGCTTTTGGGGTTCTTCTTGAGACAGGGTCTCACTCTGTCACCCAGGCTGGAGCGCAATGGCACAATCACAGCTCGCTGCAAACTTGACCTCCTGGGCTCAAGTGATCCTTCCATCTTGGCCTCCCGAGTAGCTGGAACTACAGTCATATGCCACCATGCCCAGCTAATTATTATTATTTTATTGGTAGAGGGAGGGTGGGGAGTGGGGTGGAGGGGGAATAGAGGTGGGGGTGAGGGATATTCTCACTGTGTTGCCCAAAGTGGTCTTGAATTCCTGGACTCAAGCGATCCTCCTACCTCGGCCTCCCCAAGTGCTGGGATTACAGGCATGAGCCACTACACCCAGCCCCATGTCTGGTTTTAAACTAAGTTTAGTAGTTTGTTATATAGCACAGAACATTAACACAGATAATCTAACTCATGAACATAGATACGAAACCCTTGAACAAAAAGATTAACAACTAGAACCCAACAATTCATGAAAATAACTGCATCACAAACAAAATATACCTGAGGAATAGAAGATTAGTTTAATATGTGACCATCATTGATAACGAACAATAACAGAATAAGGAAGAAAATCTCATGATTACCTCAATAAATACAGAGAAATCTGGTCACAATCATGAATCTATCCATTCATGATTACAACTCTTCAAAACTATGACTGCAAACATCATGCTTAATGGTGAATTATCCAAAGCTTTCTCTCTGAGTTAAGGAATTAGCTATCTCCACTTCTATTCACTAGTTTACTATATTCACTTTTTTCACTATTTTACTGGCAGTCCTCACTAGTAAAGAAGGTAAGAAGTAAGACTTAGGAAAAAATTAAACTGATTTTGTTGCAGATAACTTGAATGTGTTTATAGAAAATCCAAAGAACCTATGTAAAAAGTAGACTTAAGTAAATCAAGTTAGGCCATACATAGTGGCTCACATGTGTAATCTTAGCACTTTGGGAGAGTGAGGTGGGAGGATTGCTTGAGCCCATGAGTTTGAGACCAGCCTGGGCAACATAGCGAGACCCTGTCACTATTTAAATAAAAATTAAAAAATTAAAGAGTAAGTCAGGTTAGAAAGGTTCCTAGATAGACAACCAACATGTGACAAATAATTCTATTTTCACCTACCAGCATCAAACACAAAATGAAACTTTTAAAAGATCCTATTGATTAGGAGAAAGTGAAGGACTTGGGAGAGCCTCACTGACAAACAGAGCAAGTTTACAGGATTTAAGTCCTGCAGAACCACCACTGAGGTGACTTCGAGAGATACCTCTGTAAATACATCACAAATATCAAATACCTACAAGACAAGACACCTCTGCTTGCCAGGATTCCTTATCCAGGTGTCAAAGAATGAATATTCTTAATATCTTTGTGTAGCCTGAGAATATATGTAGGTTTTTTTTAACCATTTGGACATAAGTTGGGGTGCATACTATGGATTCTTCAATACCTTGCTTTTTTTGACTTACCAGTCATATATCTGGAGAGAAATCCATTTTAGCAAAAAATATGTCTACTATATTCTTTCTTTTTAATTTTTTTTTTTTTTTTTTTTTTTTTTGAGACTGAGTCTCACTCTGTCTCCCAGGCTGGAGTGCAGTGGCGCGATCTCGACTCACTGCAAGCTCCGCCTCCCGGGTTCACGCCATTCTCCTCTCTCAGCCTCCGGAGTAGCTGGGACTACATGCGCCCGCCACCGCGCCCGGCTAATTTTTTGTATTTTTTAGTGGAGACGGGGTTTCACCGTGTGAGCCAGGATGGTCTCGATCTCCTGACCTCGTGATCCGCCCGCCTCAGCCTCCCAAAGTGCTGGGATTACAGGCTTGAGCCACCGCGCCCGGCCTATTTTTAATTTTTTAAACTTGCAGAAGAGTTGCAAGAATAATGCTCGTTAGTGGGCCTTCACCTGGATTCACCAACTGCTGGCGTGTGGCTTTATAGTATGTGCTTTATCACTCCCCTTCCTTCCGGTCCTCGAGTTCCTGTTTCTTCCTGAACCGTTTGAAAACAGGTTGCATATATCATGCCCCTGTCCCCCAAAAAACTTCAGTGTGTATTTTCTAAGAACAAGGGCATCCCCTTGCATAAACACAGTACAATTTTATCAAATTCAGAAGATTCAACATTAATAGAAAAAACTATCTGCATATTATCCATATTCAAATTTCATCAGTTGTTCCCATAATGTTCTTTTATGGCAATTTTTTTTTTTTTTTTTTTTTTTTTTCTGATCCGAGATTCAGTCCAGATAGATGTAGCTCCTGAATAGAAGTGAAAGTTCTCCCTCCCCAGGGTGAGGAAATTCCCTCAGGGCTCCTAGGTGTGGTGTAGTCGCTGGTAAGGGGGAATGAGTGCCCAAAGCAGGCAGGGTTGCTGTAGTGTCCACTAACTCAGTGGTGGTAAATCTTTTGTGCACATGTAAGTGTGTGTGTGTGTGTGTATAACATATACACATGCAAGAGAAACTGAGTGATGGGGGAAGGGAGGTTATATGTGTAGTTCATTCTCTGAAGCCTAATCTTTTTAAAACATTTCAGACAACCAAGTAACAGTGTCTCATGGCAACATGCTAGAATCTTGAAGGTGAATGGAAAGGATTATGATGTATGGAAAATCCAAGTTGGAGTGGTACCTGATACAGGTGAAAATCAGTTTGCGCTACTGGAAGAGAGAGGAGCATATCAGTTGTTTAAAACAAAAAGCCAGTGTTAACAGGCTCAGAGAAATGAAGTTGAAAGGAATAGTTGTAGCTGCTGAATAGAAGTGAAATTCCAACGTGGTTCCATTAAAATGACTTCTCAGCGATCTCTCCCTGCAGATGACTTCGGTATCTACTATGTCCTGTGAGCCTTGATCTACTACAGCTTTCTAGATAAGCCCAGCTCAGAGGAGTCAGGGGATACATGCTACATTCAGGAGGGTTCTCCCAGGTGTGACCCATGGGAGGTCCCCTGAAAGGAAGGAAGATTGTACCTAATATCTTGGCAATAAATACATGTCCTTCCTAAAGGGTGACAGTCTAGAACCTCCTGTGATATCAGTGAGTAAAAGTGAAAATGACCATTCTTATAACAGTGAACACTTTTCAAACTGGCATAACTGTGCTTAAAAGCATGTAAGAGGTGAGGTCACTGTCTCATGGAGGCCAACTTTAAATACAATATATGGAAAGAAAAATCCCAGGGGACATAGATACCGGGTTGCCTGGCACGATATAAAAAATTACAAGAGGGGCTGGGTGCGGTGGCTCAAGCCTGTAATCCCAGCACTTTGGGAGGCCGAGACGGGCGGATCACGAGGTCAGAAGATTGAGACCATCCTGGCTAACACGGTGAAACCCCGTCTCTACTAAAAAATACAAAAACCTAGCCGGGCGAGGTGGCGGGCACCTGTAGTCCCAGCTACTCCGGAGGCTGAGGCAGGAGAATGGCGTGAACCCGGGAGGCGGAGCTTGCAGTGAGCTGAGATCCGGCCACTGCACTCCAGCCTGGGCGACAGAGCGAGACTCCGTCTCAAAAAAAAAAAAATTACAAGAGGAAGCTCTGTGCAGGGAGAGGAGGTGCCCTTCGGAACCCTCAGTGTTCTCTCCGTGCAGGCAGGTCTGGCCAATTCACATGAACACTCTAATCCTGTAGCTTCCTGGGAAGGACATCCTAGACCAGTCACTTAAAAATATTTTTTAAGTTGTCATTTATTGATGAACCTGTGTGAAGTACCTTGCATGATACCTTCATAATCCTCACAACCATCCTATAAGGCAGATGACATCATTCATATTTTATAGACAAGAAACAGACATAGAATCCCAGATCCTATAACTAGTAAATGGCATAGTTGGGATTTAAACTAAGATCCATTTTTTACAAAGTCTGTGCGCTTTCTCCTTTCCATGTATATATGTGTGTGTGTATTTATATGTATATAGCTATATACATATATACATATATGTGTGCTCTTAAGATATCTATATGCATGCTCTTAATATGTGATATGTTATGCTTTCAATATATATGCTATATATACATATATACACAAATATACACATATATAAATCACATATATAGGCAATCTTAATATATATAAATCCAAATATCTTAATGGATAGATATATTGGGAGAGAGGGAGGGAGGTAAACAGATGATAGGCAGATATTCCTTTTCTCTACATACCACCACACACCCCGTGAGTAAATGACTAAATCACTTCAAACCTGACATCTCATCTGTAAAATGGGATGTAAAAATAATTGTTCCTACCTTACACAATTGTTGAGAGATTTAATGGGAAAATGCATGTTAAGTACTTAAATAGTGCCAGGCTCACTACCTGATAGTTATTGTTTTATTAACTTTTAATAATAATAATTTAATTACTTGTCCAGCAAGTTGTCAGTTGTCTTGCTTTGGTTTTAGAAATTAATTTTTATCTGTCTTATTTGGCTTCAGGCACTTGTTCACAGTTCTGTTCTAAGTAATGTAATCTTGTTTTTAATTTAATTTAATTTAATTTAATTTATGTAATAGAGACAAGATCTCACTATGTTACCCTGTCTGGTCTCAAACTCCTGGCCTCAAGCAATCCTCCCACCTCGGCCTCCCAAAGGGCTGGGATTACAGGTGTGAGCCACTATGCTCTGCCATGATGTAATTTTAGACTCCAAGTTCCCATACTTCCTGTCCTTGGTGGGGAATGCATTTGGAGGAAGTCTTATTAAGAACTCTTCTTTATTTCACAATATTGAGAGGCTTATTGTCATTTGTATTTATTTTGTTCTCTCAAAACCCTTTCTTTCCATGTGGCACCAACACAGTGCAGAGTGCACAGATTATTATGATACCCTTCCAGTTAAGGAGGCTGATGGGAGCCAGCCCTGTTCTCAGGGTGTCACTGGCTTGCGGAACTTGGGCAACACATGCTACATGAATGCCATCTTACAGTGTCTCTGCAGCATCTCGCCGCTGGTGGAATACTTCCTCTCCGGGAAGTATATCACTGCTCTTCAAAAGTAAGACCATTTGCATTCCCTGCAGCCCAGCTCCCACCCCCACTTCCCCACAGGTGAGGTTAGAGAAGGAACTCTGGAATCCCTATTAAGGGATAAACAAACAAGTCAGTAGAGGTTGCAGCTTCCCAGATAACATGCTAGAGTAAGTAAAAGTGGGAAGGGCAACCAAGAAATGAATGCAGCTCCTTTTTTTTATTTTTAATTTTTTTAAATTTTTGTCGTTGTTGAGACAGGGTCTCGTTCTATTGCCCAGGCTGGAGTGCAGTGGCACGATCTTGGCTCCCTGCCACCTCTGCTCCTCAGGTTCAAGTGACTCTCCTGCCTCAGCCTCCTGAGTAGCTGGGATTACAGGCACACACCACCATGCCTGGCTAATTTTTTTTTTGGTATTTTTTTTGTATTTTTAGTAGAGAGGGGGTTTCACCATGTTGGACAGGCTGGTCTTAAACTCCTGACCTCAAGTGATCCACCTCTCCCAACCCACCACCTCAGCCCTGCAAAGTGCTGGAATTACAGGCATGAGCCTCTGAGCCTGGCCTCCTTTTTTTTTTCTTTTAGACAGCGTCTTGTTCTGTCACCCAGACTGGGGTGAAGTAGTGGTATGATCACAGCTCACCGCAGCCTCGACCTTCTGGGGGCTCAAGCGATCCTCCTGCATTGGCCTCCCAAAGTGCTGGGGTTACAGGCATGAGATACCACTCTCTTCCATTTTGAGACTAATTTCCCAGGCTTGGGTGATGAGGTGCCTTCTTTTCATTAAGTCAGCCAGAAACATATCCCTTTCTTCTTCCAAGTGATTGCAGTGAGGTTGCCACTGCTTTTGCCTACCTGATGACAGACGTGTGGCTGGGAGACTCAGACTGTGTCTCACCAGAAATATTCCGGTCAGCTCTTGGCAACCTCTACCCAGCATTTTCGAAAAAGACGCAACAAGATGCTCAGGAATTCTTGATTTATGTCCTAAATGAACTTCATGAAGCTCTAAAAAAGGTATGTAGAATTAATGACCTTGAAATAGGATAGTTCTGCACCTTTATCAGCAACTTCCATTTTTCCTTCTTTTGCTTGTTCAGTTAATATTGTCTACTTTGTGCCAAGCACTGTGCTAGGTGTCCCATGGAGAACATCCAAGTTAGCATTTGAATGTGTAACTGTATTTACCAAACTTACCTGTCATCAGAATCACCTGGGAAGATTTTACAGCACAGATGTTGAGGCACATACTCCAAGGGTAATGAATTAGAACGTCTTTGGGGAAAGCTCACTTGGCATTTCCAGTGGTCGGCCAGGCGTAGGAAACACTAGTCTACTTTTCTTTGGAAATAAAGGCTGCATGGACTAGTTTTTAAAAGTACAAAATATATTCCTCATGAGAAATAACATGTAGAATTTTATAGCTTACATTTTCTTGGGACCTACAAATCCATGAAAATATTAAGCTCGATATCAGATTAAGCAACAGATCTATGCACTACAAAGTTCCAGCCTCGTACCAAACATGCCTAACCCGAGTTCATCACCGAATTAGGACATACGTTTCATTAAACATGAAGTCGTCAGTTACTGTAGAGGTTTTGCCTTTATTTACAAAACTCACTGCCCTTAGTCTTGGTCTGAAAATGTGTCCTTGACTTTATGCAATGTCCTTCTGCTAATGTTACCTCACTGCACCTCTAATACCCAGGGAATGGTTAGCATCGAGATTGCAAACTATAGCTATTAATTGTTCTCATTGGCAGGCCTCAGTTCCGTTTTTCATTTAGAGTAATAAAAAAAAGTCATGGCTGGGCACTGTGGTTGACACCTGTAATCCCAGCATATTGGGAGGCCGAGGCGGGTGGATCAGTTGAGGTCAGGAGTTCGAGACCATCCTGGCTAACATGGTGAAACCCCGTCTCTACTAAAAATACAAAAATTAGCCGGGCATGTTGGCGGGCGCCTGTAGTCCCAGCTACTCGGGAGGCTGAGGCAGGAGAATCGCTTAAACTCAGAAGGCGGAGGTTGCAGTGATCTGAGATCCCGCCACTGCACTCCAGCCTGGGTGACGGAGTGAGACTCCGTCTCAAAACAACAACGAAAAAAAACCAACAATGAAAAGAAAGAAAAAAAAACGTATTCATGGCAGCACTTTTTAAAGAGAAGAGGTGAGTGGGCAGTAAAAATCCCTCATGTCCTCTTCTACAGCCAATCTGAAACAAATAGCGTTCTGTTTCCCAAGATCAAACTAGGAATTAGGGGAGTGAAGTTACTGTCAGGGTGGAAGACTTTGGCAGCAGAGTGAGACGAAAGGAGCAAGCAGAAGTGGAATGGTGAGCACAGCCCCAAATTAGAGCCAGCTGTGGAGCTAACGCATCTTCAAAATGTATATTCTACTGAGGCTCTTCAATCACTGAAAACTCAGGGTGTGCCCCAGAAACGCTGTTGCTGAGTATGAGCTAGATCCAAACCAGGCCACAAGGCTAGTTCTGCCAGGCTGCCTTAGGAATTTCAGATTTGCTCTCTTATCTTTTTTTAAAAAAATTAACCCTGTAGAGACAGGACTTTGCTATGTTGCCCAATCTGATCTCAAACTCCTTGTCTCACGTGATCCTCCCAACTCAGCCTCCCAAAGCACCACGATTACAGACGTGAGCCACCATGCCTGGCCAAGATTTGCTCTTTTAAAAAAGTGTTTTCTAGAAGTTAAAGGAGAAAAGGCTACAGAATTTAACCTGAAGGGACTGAAGACAGGAAAGACTGGATTTCTTAATATTTTACCTTTAGATCTGCTTGAGTGATCTAATGCTAATTTAGCTTACTTACCCCCTTCCCAGGAAAAACTAGCTCCCAAGGCTGGTAACTTATGGGGCCATGGGTATATGTTTTACCAGAGTTAGGGTGTCATCACTCCTCTGTTTCACCTAAAGGGAAAATATCTGAATTATCAGAAATCACACATGATATACTTTCAAGGATATCTTACTCTATTGTCTGAATCCAAAACTAAGTGGTTTCTGGTAGCAATGTATCATTCTGATAGAAAAAAAAATCAGTCATTTCATTGAAAACTTTTTTTCTTTTTTGAAACATGGTCTCACTCTGTCACCCAGGCTGGAGTGCAGTAGTGCTAACACGGCTCACTGCAGCCTTGAACTCCTGGACTCAACTGATCCTCCAACCTCAGCCTCCCAAGTAGCTGGCACCATAGATGTGTGCTACCGCGCCTAGCTCATTTTTTTTTTCTTTGTAGAGATGGGATCTCATCATGTTGCCACAGTCTTTTTTAAATAACCAGTAATTAATCTGGGTGAAATTTGCTCCTTGATTCAGTACCACTACCCCCGGAGAAGATCACACGAGAAAGATTCTGCTCAGAGATGCTGCAGGAAGTGGATTACCACTGAGACATCCGTCATCACCCAGCTGTTTGAAGGGCAGCTCAATTATAGCATCGTATGTTTAAAGTGTGAGAAATGCACCTACAAGAACGAAGTCTTCACTGTCCTCTCACTCCCCATTCCATCCGAATATGAATGCTCCCTTCAGGTAGGAATGCGGTATTCCTGGACACTTTGTCTTGCTATACTCTCAGCCTGGATTTTCTCAGGGCTGTTTCCTACATTTGTTTAGTATGAGAGGCAGCTTTATAATTTTAATTTTAAAAGAAATAGGCTGGGCGAGTGGCTCATGCCTGTAATCCCAGCACTTTTGGCTGAGGCAGGCGGATCACCTGAGGTCAGGAGTTCAAGACCAGCCTGGCCAACATGGTGAAACCCTGTCTCTACTAAAAATACAAAAATTAGTTGGGCATGATGCCGGGCACCTGTAATCCCAGCTACTTGGGAGACTGAGCCATGAGAATCGCTTGAACCCGGGAGGTGGAGGTTGCAGTGAGCCAAGATTGCACCACTGCACTCCAGCCGGGGCGACAGAGCGAGTCTCCGCCTCAAATAAGTAAGTAAGTAAGTAAATAAATAAATAAATAAATAAATGAAAGAGGAAGTCCATGATGACAGTATTTTTTTTTTTAGGGACATACTGGTCAAAAGTTACTAGGAATTCAATCATATTTTTAAATGTACTCAATGAAATAGCCTGATTGTAAAATTGGAAATATAGTGGGGTTTATTCAGTCTATTGAGATAGATTTGTGCATAAAATAAATTTGTAATTTCTTGCAAAAATTTGTGACCCTCCCTTACCCCAGAGGTCTGTAAGGCCCAGACTTGGAACTAGATATAAAACATTCTAGACGCTCAGTCTTGTGCTCTTATATTTTGGACTAAAGCTGTGAAATGTTTTGGAAAGACAGAATGGAATCTAGTGCCTTGGTTTACCTCTCAAATTTTCTTCACCACAATGCCAAAAGTTAATCTGTAACTGGGGATGTGGGCATGGGGTGAGTGGCAGTAGAAGGCAGCCAGCAATAAGGAGCAAACAAGGGGCGGACAGCAATAAGTTTTCTTACAGAATTATATAAATTTATATTTTTTCTTCCTAAATTATGAAAACACATTTTATTGCTAAAAGATTTACCTACCAGAATTGGAGAATAGAATCCTATTACTTATTCAGCACTAGGCTTTGTTTCTCAGCTCAAACTTCTAAAGATTGTTGGAAAGAAATTCCAAACACCTAAGTAAGGTGCCAGTGGGTCCTCTGCAAACAAAATCTGTGCTCATCTTCTTCTTGCAGTTAATGGTCTGCAGAACCAAGGACCTGGCCACACTGAGGATCTCTCCTATGGATATGGGGTCTAATTTATCCCTGTTCTGCTATCTTTATCATAGGCCACCCCCAAACCCTGAAAGTCATTTTTGTCACCAGATCATTTTAGCAATGAGATGAACAGCATAAAGCAGCTGCCTGATTTCACTGGTGAAAATTGCAAAGTCGCCGGGCATGGAGGCTCAAGCTTGTAATCCCAGCACTTTGAGAGGCCAAGGCAGGCAGATCATGAGGTCAAGAGATCGAGACCATCCTGGCCAACATGGTGAAACCCCATCTCTGCTAAAAATACAGAAATTAGCTGGGCATGGTGGCATGCGCCTGTAGTCCTGGCTACTTGGAGGCTGAGGCAGGAGAATCGCTTGAACCCAGGAGGCGGAGGTTGCAGTGAGCCAAGATCACGCCACTGCACTCCAGCCTGGCGACAGAGCGAGACTCCGTCTCGAAAAAATAAATAAATAAATAAATAAAATAAAATAAAATAAAATAAAATAAAATAAATAAAAATTGCAAAATCAGTAATATTCGGGAAAAAACAGAAAAGTTAAAATGCTCATTTATAGGCTGGGTGTGGTGGCTCACGCCTGTAATCCCAGCACTTTGGGAGGCTGAGGTAGGCAGATCACCCCGTTTCTACTAAAAATACAAAGATTAGCTGGGCTTGGTGGTGCGCGCCTGTAGTCCCAGCTCCTTAGGAAGCTGAGGCAGGAGAATCACTTGAACTGTGAGGTGGAGGTTGCAGTGAGTCGAGATCATGCCACTGTAGTCCAGCCTGTGCAACAGAGCGAGACTCCATCTCAAAAAAAAAGAAAACGAAAAACCCAAAAAACTGATTTATAGATTATAAGTGAGGTAGGCACTCAAATCCATCTCAGTAACAAGAAACACCTTCTAGGTGGATTTTACAGGTATCTGGCTGCAACTAGTGAAACTGTTATCTTCTGGACTTGTTGACTTTGAGAAAAGCACTGAGAATTACATTTCCTCGGCATTTGCAAAGTTCTTTTTTTTTTTTTTTTTTTTTTTTTTTTTGAGACGGAGTCTTGCTATGTCACCCAGGCTGGAGTGCAGTGGCCGGATCTCAGCTCACTGCAAGCTCCTCCTCTCGGGTTCACGCCATTCTCCTGCCTCAGCCTCCCGAGTAGCTGGGACTACAGGCACCCACCACTTCGCCCGGCTAGTTTTTTTTTTTTTGTATGTTTAGTAGAGACGGGGTTTCACCGTGTTAGCCAGGATGGTCTCGATCTCCTGACCTCATGATCCGCCCGTCTCGGCCTCCCAAAGTGCTGGGATTACAGGCTTGAGCCACCGCGCCCGGCCTGCAAAGTTCTAATAGAAACAGAGAGTGCAGGTTGCAGTTGATCCAATTTGGTCACCAAATCCTTTTTTTCCTGAACAGGACTGTCTCCAGTGTTTTTTTCAACAAGACACACTGACCTGGAACAACCAAATTCACTGCTCCTTTTGTGAAACCAAGCAAGAAACTGCCGTGAGGGCTGGCATTTCCAAGGCACCCAAAATAATTATTTTTCACCTTAAAAGGTATGGATTTTTACATTTTCTGGGCACATATTTTTGAACAGCTTTCTAGAGATGTAATTCACACGCCAATAATTGGCCCATTTAGAGTATACAGTTCAATGATATTTGGTATATTACATTATTGTTTTTAAATTGTGATAAAATACATACAGCATAACATAAAACTTTGCCATTTTAGCAATTCTAATCATACAATTCATTGGCATTCATTATTCACAATGTTGTGCAACAATCATCACTGTTTCTAAAACTTCATCACCCAGACAGAAACTCTGTAACCTTTAGTTTTGGTGTTCTTTCTTTCTTTTCTTTCCTTCCTTTCTTTCTTTCCTTTCCTTCCTTCCTTCCTTCCTTCCTTCCTTCCTTCCTTCCTTCCTTCCTTCCTTCCTTCCTTTCTTTCTTTCTTTTTCTTTCTTTTCCTTCCTTTCTTTCCTTCCTTCCTTCCTTCCTTCCTTCCTTCCTTCCTTCCTTCCTTCCTTCCCTCCTTCCCTCCTTCCCTCCTTCCCTCCTTCCTTCCCCTTCCTTCCTTCCTTCCTTCCTTCCTTCCTTCCTTCCTTCCTTCCTTCCTTCCTTCCTTCCTTCTTTCTTTCTTTCTTTCTTTCTTGGACTCTCACTCTGTTGCCAGGCTGGAGTGCAGTGATGTGATCTCGGCTCACTGCAACCTCCACCTCCCGAGTTCAAGCTATTCTCCTGCCTCAGCCTCCCTAGTAGCTGGGACTACAGGTGCATGCCACTATTCACAGCTAATTATTTTTGTATTTTTAGTAGACATGGGGTTTCACCATGTTGGCCAGGATGGTCTAATCTCTTGATCTCATGATCCGCCCACCTTGGTCTCCCAAAGTTCTGGGATTACAGGTGTGAGCCACTGCGTCTGGCCAGGTTGTTGGTTTTCTAATTGTTGAGTTTTAAGATTTCCCTTCCCCTCCCCTCCCCTCCCCTCCCCTCCCCTCTCCTCCCTTCTTTTTTTCAGTCTCTCGCTTTGTCACACAGACTGGAGTGCAATGGTGCAATCTCAGTTCTTGCAGTCTCCGCTTCTCTGGTTCAAGCCATTCTCCTGCCTCAGCCTCCAGAGTAGCTGGGACTACAGGCACCCGCCAGCATGTCCGGCTAATTCTTACGTTTTTTGGTAGAGACAGGTTTTCACCATGTTGCCCAGGCAGGTCTCGAACTCCTGAGCTCAGGTGATCTGAATGATCTGCCCACCTCAGTCTCCCAAAGTGCTTGGATTATAGGCATGAGCCACTGTGCCTAGCCAAATTTCTTGTATATTTTCAATAGCAGTTCTTTACTAGATGTGTTTTTTTGTGGGTTTTTTTGTTGTTGTTGTTTTGTTTTTTTTAGTCCATGGCTTGTTTTTTATTGTCTTGACAGTGTTTTGTAGAGCAGAAAATTTTGACTTTAATGGAGTCCAGCTTATCAATTCTTTTGTAAAGGAGGCCTTTGGTGTTGTAGCTAAAAAGTCATTGCCAAACACAAGATAATCTAGATCTTCTCCAGTGTTATCTTCCAGGAGTTTTGTAGCTTTCTGTTTTACGTTTTGGTCTGTGATCCATTTTGAGTTAATTTTTGTGAAGGGTGTAAGGTTTGTGTGTGGATTCTTCTTTTTTTTTTTTTTCATGTAGATATCCAGTTGTCCCAGCACCATTTGTTGAAAAAGGTTATCTTTTCTCCATTGCATTACCTTTGTTCCTTTGTCAATGATCAGTTGATCATATCTTTGTGGGTCCATTTCTGAGCTCTCTTGTCTATACCATTCTTTTTCTTTTTTTTTTTTTTTCCAGCAATACCACACTGTCTTGATTATTCTGGTTTTAAAATAAGTTTTGAAGTTTGGTAATGTCAGTCCAATTATGTTTTGCTTCAGTATAGTTTTGGCTACTCTGGATCTTTTACCTCATCCCATAAACTTTAGAATCATTTTGTCAATATCCACAAAATAAATTATTGGGATTTTGATTGGGATTACATTGTATTTACAGATCAAATTGGGAAGAACTGACATCTTGACAATATTGAAGCTTCTTATCCATGAATATAGAATATATCTCTCTGTTTATTTAGGTTCTTCTCGGATTTCTTTCATGAGAATTTTCTAGTTTTCCTTCTATAGGTCTTGTACATATTTTGTTCATTTTATAACTAAGTATTTCATTTTTGAGGGTGCTAATGTGAATGGTATTGTGTTTTTTTTATTTAAAATTTTTTTTTTTGAGACAGAGTCTTGCTCTGTCACCCAGGCTGGAGTGCAGTGACACGGTCTCGGCTCACTGCAAGCTCCGCCTCCGGGGTTCACGCCATTCTCCTGCCTCAGCCTCCTGAGTAGCTGGAACTACAGGTGCCTGCCACCATGCCCGGCTAATTTTTTGTATTTTTAGTAGAGACAGGGATTCCCCGTGTAGCTAGGATGGTCTCGATCTCCTGACCTCGTGATCCGCCCGCCTTGGCCTCCCAAAGTGCTGGGATTACAGGCATGAGCCACTGCACCTGGCCTGGATCTGTCCATTTCTGACAGAGGTGTGTTAATATCTCCAACTATAAAAGTGGATTTATCTATTTCTCCTTGCAGGTCTATCAGTTTTTCCTTTGTGTGTGTGTGTGTGTGTGTGTGTGTGTGTGTGTGTGTTTGTGAGACAGAGTTTCGCTCTGTTGCCCACGCTGGAGTGCAGTGGTGCAGTCTCAGCTCACTGCAAACTCTGCCTCCTGGGTTTAAGCAATTCTCATGTCCCAGCCTCCCGAGTAGCTGGGATTACAGGTGCGTGCCACATCTGCCTAGTTTTTGTATTTTTAGTAGAGACAGGGTTTAGCCATGTCGGCCAGGCTGGGCTCAAACACCTGACCTCAAGTGGCCCGCCCACCTCGGCCTCCCAACGTGCTGGGATTACAGACATGAGCCACGGTGCCCAGCCAGTTTTTCCTCATGTATTTTGACCCTTTGTTGTTAAGTGCATATATGTTAAGAATTTCTATGTCTTCTTGAAAAATGGATCCCTTTATCATTATATGTGGTCCTTTTTATCCTCGATCACTTTCTTTGTTTTGAAGACTGCTCTGTCCGAAGTTAATATAGCTACTCCCATTTTCTTAGTGGTAGGATGGTTTGTTTTCCTCCATCTGTTTACTTTAGTCTCTATGTGTCTTTATATTTCAAGTATGTTTCTTGTACACAGTATATAGTTGAATTTTGTTTTTGATTCACTGTGACAATCTGTGTTTTAATTAATGTATATAGACCACTGACATTCAAAGTGATCGTTGATGCCGTTGGGTTAAATATCTGTTGTACTTGTTACTGCCTTCTATTTGTTGCCCTTGTTCTTTGTGTTCCTGTTTTTATCTACCACTCTTTTCCTGCTTTTTGTGGTTTTAACTGAGCATCTTCTATGACTCCATTTTCTCTCCTTTATTACCATATCAGCAATACTTTTTAAAACATTTTTTAGTGGTTGCCTTAGAGTTTGCAATATACGGCCGGGCGCGGTGGCTCAAGCCTGTAATCCCAGCACTTTGGGAGGCCGAGACGGGTGGATCACGAGGTCAGGAGATCGAGACCATCCTGGCTAACACGGTGAAACCCCATCTCTACTAAAAAATACAAAAAAACTAGCCGGGCGAGGTGGCGGGCGCCTGTAGTCCCAGCTACTCGGGAGGCTGAGGCAGGAGAATGGCGTGAACCCGGGAGGCGGAGCTTGCAGTGAGCTGAGATCTGGCCACTGCACTCCAGCCTGGGCGACAGAGCGAGACTCCGTCTCAAAAAAAAAAAAAAAAAAAAGTTTGCAATGTACATTTACGACTAATCCATGTCCACTTTCAAATAACACCATACCGCTTTCCTTGTATCACTGCTGTCATTTATTTCACTTATATATAAAGATACACAAGAATATATATGATATATACATAAGCATACATAATTGAATATATTGTCTCTATTATTGTTTTGAATAAACTGTTATGTTAGATCAATTAATAATAAGAAAAAAGTTTTCATTTTACCCTCGCTTATTCTTTCTTCAGTGCTCTTTCTTTATGTCAATCCAAGTGTTTAACCTACATCATTTTCCTTGTCTGTAAAGGATTTCTTTTAACTTTTTTTTTTTTTTTTTTTGAGATGGAGTCTTACTCTGTTGCCCAGCCTGGAAGGCAGTGGCATGATCTCGGCTCACTGCAACCTCTGCCTCACGGGTTCAAGCGATTCTCCTGCCTCAGCCTCCCGAGTAGCTGAGATTACAGACCCGCACCACCATGCCAGGCTAATTCTGTATTTTTGGTAGAGACGGGGTTTCACCATATTGCCAGGGTGGTTTTGAACTCCCTACCTCAAGTGATTCACCCGCCTTGGCTTCCCAGAGTAGCTGTGATTACAGGCATGAGCCACCGTGCCCAGCCTCTTTTAACATTTCTTGCAAGGCAGGTCTACTGGCAAAAAATTCCCTTAATGTGTCTTTATCCAATGACGTCTTTATTTCCCTTCACGTTTGAAGGTTAATTTTACAGGGTACAGAATGCTAGGTTGGTGGTTTTCTTCCCTTTTAACACTTTCAATATTTTATTCCACTTTCTTCTTGTTTGCATGGTTTCTGAGAAGTTAGATGTAATTCTTATGTCTGCTCCTCTATAGGTGTGCTTTCTGCCCCCAATCTGGCTTCTTTTGGGGTTTTTTTCCTTATCTTTGATATTCTGCAGTTTGAAAATGAAATGCCTAGGTGTCATTTTTCTGGTATTTATCTTTCTTGGTGTTCTCTGAGCTTCCTGAATCTGTGGTTTGGTGTATGGCATTAATCTGAGAAAATTCTCAGTCATTATTGTTTCAAATATTTTTTCTGTTCTTTTCTCTTTCTTTTCCTTTTGGTATTTCCATTATACAGATGTTACATCTTCGTAGTTGTCCCACAGTCCTTGGATATTGTTGTGCTTTTTTTTTTTAAGTCTATTTTCTTTCTTTCTTTTTTTTTTTTTTTAGTAGAGATCCAGGGGGGGGGGGGGGGGCTCTTACTTTGTTGCCCAGGCTGGTCTGGAACTCCTGGGCTCAGGCGATTCTTCCACCTTGGCCTCCCAAAGTGCTGGGATACAGGCGTGAGCCACCGTGCCCAGCCAGTCTTTTTTCTTTCTTCTTTTCAGTTTTAAAGATTTCTACTGAGGTTCCTCAAGCGCAGAGATTCTTTCTTCAGCTGTGTGCAGTCTACTAATAAGCCCATCAGAGGCTTTCTTCACGTGTTAGTGTTTTTTTTCCTCTAGCAGTTAAAAAAGCAAAAACAAAAACAAAAACTAACCACTATACTAACAAGGATACCTCTAGCATTTCTTTCGGTTCATTCTTAGGATTTCCAGGTCTCTGTTTACATTGACCATCTGTTCTTGCATGCTGTTTACTTTATTCATTAGAACCCTTAGTATGTTCATCAGTTTTAAATTCTCAGTCTGGTAATTCCCACACCCCTGCCCTATCTGGTTCTGATACTTACTGTCTCTTCAAATTGTGTTTTTCGCCTTTTAGTATGCCTTGGAATTTTTTCCTGATAGCCAGATATGATGAACTGGGTAAGAGAAACTGACATAAACAGACCTTGATGATGTGGTGGTAAGGCGGAGGGGGAGGGGAAGCGCTCTATAATCCTATGAGTGGGTCTCGGTCTTTTAATGAACTTAAGCCTCCAGACTACGAAAGTTCACAAGTGCTCCTCAGTCCCTTCACACCTGCTTCGGTGGAACAGGATGGTTATGTGTGGGCTGGAGTTAGGTGTTTTCCTCCCCCTAGGTCAGTTAAGCTCTGATAAAACCCCAGCAGGTTAGGCTCTGGTTGATCAGTTTCTCCTGTGGGCAGGCGTGAAGAACTGGGTGCGCCAGTGTATTTCAGAATGGTTTCTTTCCCTTCCTCCTGCCAGAACCGTGAGGAGAGTTGTCTCTAATACTTACCGTGCGAGTGTGGTTGGGCTCCTGGAGGGAAAACTCACGAAGTAGGGGCCCCCCGTGACTGGATTCTTTGGAGTTTTTGACTCTCAGACTCTTCACTGAGCCTCTAGCAAATTAGTCAATTATAGTCCAGGTTTTCCTACGCAGACCTGTTCCCTCAGAGGTTTCTGCTCGGCAGTTTTGGCTCTGGTAAGTTTGTGATTCTCTGTGTTTGCTGGTCTGTGTTTCCAATTTTGGGGGCAGTGGTTTGTCCTGTGACCTCACCGCTCTTTCAGCTCTACGAAGAGCTGTTTATTTTCCTTTCGGTTACTTCTTTCCTTCCTGAAGGAAAATAACCAAAAGTTTTATTTAGCTTTTAACTTGTTAGGACAGAACGGTGACTTCCAAGTGTCCTTATGTGTAGAACTGAAAACTAGACGTCTCTCATCATTGCTTTCGGTGTTCAAACTGTTCAAAATTGGCCAGTGGGAGCCCCTTCAAGTTAGCTCCTGGGGTCCCATGAGTTTATTAGGGTATGCTTACAAAAAACTGTATCATTTTTAGGTGCACAGTTCTGTGAATTCTGACAGATGCATGCAGTCATATAGCCATTACAACCAACATATAAACCATTTCCATCACCTCAAAAAGTTCTCTCATGCTCCTAACTAATCACTCTCCTTCCCGACCCTAAGCCTATAGAAATTGCTCATCTGATTCCCAACCTTATAATTTTGTTTTTCAGAATGTGCTATGTCATACTGTATGTAGCTTTTAGTTTTTCTTTCACTTAGCATGATTCTTTTGAAACGCGTGTTGTTGCATGCATTAGTGGTCCCTTTTTTACTGCTGTGTGCTATTCCTTTTTGTGAGTGTACCACAGTTGCACGTCTCCACCAGTTGATGGACGTTTGGGTTGTTTACAGTTTTGAGTAGTTAGGAATACAGCTTCTACAAACACTAGCAGATAGCTTGTTATGTGGGCCTAAGTCTTCATTTCTCTTGGGATGATACCCAGGTATAGAATTGCTGGATCACATGGCATTCCCTTAGTTTTTTGAAAACAGGGTATTTTGCTTTCTGGCATAAGAATGTCTGGTCTCAGTAATTTCCCAGCCTCAGACCTACATCAGCCATTTTTCCAAAATGAACATTTTTTTTTTTTTTAAAAAAGCTTCTGAGTAACTGATGTGAGCCTAGATTTACAAACTTAGGGTCTATGTAACAATACAGAATGTGAAAGATTTTCACAAAATGTTCTTATTAAAACATTATATTAAAATGTTAAAAAAAAAAAACCTCAGAGCTTGAAAACAACATTGCCAAGACTACCTGTGCCGAAATCAAGATAAGGAAAAGCTGAGCCAGCGTGGTTAAAATAAACAGGTTCAGTTGGAGCAAAAGCCTCAGGAATTATCAATGTGGTTTCCACTTCCCCCAATGCTGAGAGCCTTGGTTATCCCTTTCTTTTTGCCCTACTACATTCAAGTTTAGCTTGAATCTTTACTATCTCACTCCCTGATTCAAATTCCAGTCTCATTTTGGTGAGGCTTGTGGATGTGGTATTTAAATAGATAAGAGAAAAGTAATTTATAAGTCTGTACCAAATAATCTTTCCAAGAAATTACTTTTTTTTTTTTTTTTTTTTTTTGAGATGGAGTCTCGCTCTGTCGCCCAGGCTGGAGTGCAGTGGTGTGATCTCAGCTCACTGTAACCTCCACCTCCCAGGTTCAAGTGATTCTCCGACCTCAGCCTCCTGAGTACCTGGGATTACAGGCATCCACCATCATGCCCGGCTAATTTTTTCGCATTTTCAGTAGAGACGAGGTTTCACCATGTTGGCCAGACTGGTTCTAACTCCTGACCTCAAGTGATCCAATCACTTCAGCCTCCCAAAGTGCTAAGATTACAGGCATGAGCCACCACGCCAGGCCAGAGATTATTTTTTTGAGATAGGGTCTCACTCCGTCACTTAGGCTGGAGTGCAGTGGCTCGATCATGACTCCCTCAGCCTCCCTATGCTCAGGTGATCCTCCTACCTTAGCCTCCTGAGTAGCTGGGACTACAGGTGAGAATTCTATGTAGAGACAGGGTTTTGCCTTGTTACTCAGGCTGGTCTCAAACTCCTAGGCTCAAGGGATATGCCTGCCTTGGCCTCCCAACATTGTGGGATTACAGGCATGAGCCACTGTGCCCAGCCAAGAAATTACTTTTAAGATACTTGGAATTTGTCATGTAGACAAATGAGTGGTTCACAAGCTTACTTTGTATTTTACACATTATCCCTGCAGGTTTGACATTCAGGGTACAACGAAAAGGAAGCTGAGAACGGATATTCATTACCCACTCACTAATTTGGACCTCACTCCTTATATTTGCCCAATTTTCCGGAAATATCCTAAATACAATCTCTGTGCAGTGGTGGTGAGTAAAAACAAACTGGTAAAAGTAACCCAATTTTGGCCGGGCACGGTGGCTCACGCCTGCAATCCCAGCACTTTGGGAGGCTAAAGCAGGCAGATCACAAGGTCAGGAGATCTAGACCATCCTGGCTAACACAGTGAGACCTCATCTCTACTAAAAATACAAAAAAAAAAAATTAGCTGGGCGTGGTGGCGGGCACCAGTAGTCCCAGCTACTCGGGAGGCTGAGGCAGAAGAATGGTGTGAACCCGGGAGGCAGAGCTTGCAGTGAGCCGAGATCGCTCCACTGCACTCCAGCCTGGGGAACAGAGGGAAACTCCGTCTCAAAAAAAAAAGTAACCCAATTGTAAAGAAAACTCTAGAATTATCTGCTCGAATCCCTATTTCTCCTGTCTCTCCCTGACTTCTTTTATGCCCTACTTTAAAAATATATAGACCAGGAAACTCTCCACTTTGACCTAGACAAGTAGAGGAACAAAGAAATAAAATATACTGTTCACCGCCTCTTTATTTTCTCTCCAGTCAGTGGCTATTTTAGATCTAAGATCTAAGGATACTTGCAAATTGTGCTCCTAGAGGCAGCAGGAGAAGTTGGTTCCAGTAGCTTAACATTGCTTTTGAGACAGGGCCTTGCTCTGTCGCCCAGGCTGCAGTGCCGTCGGTGGTGCAATCACAGCTCACTGCAGCCTCCAACTCGGTGATCCTCCCCGAGTAGCTGAAACTACAGGCATGTGCATTTACAAGCAGCTGAGACTACAGGCATGAAAATACAGGCATTTTTTTTTTTTAAATTTTAAAGTAGAGATGAGGTTTCACTATGCTGCCCATGCTGGTCTTGACCTCCTGGGCTCAAGGGACCCTCCCACCCTGGCCCCTTAAAGTGCTGGGATTACAAGCATCAGCCACCAGGCCCAGCCTTTGATAGCTTTATGTTGAATAACCATGAACCACTTTGTGGCCAAAGCCGCAAAACAGTAGGTACATACTAGCCACAAGATTCAATGCCTGTATACAGCCAGGCCTAGAAAAACTCTGGGGTCCCCATAGTTCTAAGTCAACTATGATCAATGAAGATTTCCTGAAGGAAAGAAAGCATGGAGTATAATTTAGACCAAATCACCAGAATTCACATCAACCATCCCCAAGTAGCAAGCCGCTCTGGGTTTCTGTTCTGGATCACGGTGTTAAAGATCTGTCTCAGAACATACTCATATTTCAAATTGTACCTGGAGGCCCAGTTGTGTCTACATCAAATGGTTGAGACGCCCATGGAGCCCAGTATGATTCACCAGAGTCCTCCGAAGTCTCATTTGCCTCTTCAGCTTATTGTTGAATTAGTGTCTTCGAAAATGTGAATCCCACTGGTCTTCCTCATTAGCAGCTCTCGGAACTGTACCTCCACACTTTAACAAAATTATCAGCTCAGTATTTTGTGTGTTCACTTCGAGCCTCGATATTCTCCTTTCCAGTTTATCCTGCTCCCAAACATGGTTTTTCTTCTCTCACTTCCTTGCTTGGGAATCTAGAGTGGCATTCTCTTCTCTATTATATCAAATGCAGACTCTGATGTAGATTCCCAAACAGTGCAGGAACTGCCTCCCTTATATTTTACTATTTTTATTTCTCATATAGATGTTTCTGCTTTAAGAAAATCTGAATGACAAAAGCCTGAATTTAATATAAAAATTATAATTATTGCTGGGCTCAGTGGCTGCCTCTTGTATTAATAATTCCAGCAATTGTGGCGGCTGAGGTGGAAGGATTGCTTGGGGCCAGGAGTTAGAGACTATGGTGAGCTATGATGGCTCCTCTGCACTCCAGCCTGGGTGACAGGGTGAGACTCCATCTCTTTAAAAAAAAAAAAAAAGAGTAACTATGTGCATTATGGAAATAGGTATGTTTATATAAAACATCACTCCAAACCTCCTATAAATTCTTAGTCCTAGGCCAGGCACAGTGGCTCACACCTGTAATCCCAGCACTTTGGGAGGCTGAGGTAGGAGGATCGCTTGAGTCCTGGAATTCAAGCCAGCAGCCCTGGCAACATGGCAAAACCCCATCTCTTAAAAAACAAAACAACAACAACAACAACAAAAACTTAGTTCTTTTAATAATCTATTATTGGTTGATTAAGGGGCCAAAAGTTGGTTTTGAAAGAGAACTATATTTAGAATTTGCTGCAAATTGATGATTCATCAGAGATAAAAACTAAGCATCTGTGAGGCCAGGCATGGTGGCTCACATCTATAATCCCAGCACTTTGGGAGGCTGAGGTGGGCAGATCACCTGAGGTCAGGAGTTTGAGACCAGTCTTGCAAACATGGTGAAACCCCATCTCTACTAAAAATGGAAAAAAATTAGCTGGGTGTGGTGACGGGCGCCTGTAATCCCAGCTACTCAGGAGGCTGAGGCAGGAGAATTCTTGAACTCCGGAGGCAGAGGTTGCAGTGAGCAAGATTGGGCCACTGCACTCTAACCTGAGCGAGTGAGACTTGTTCTCAAAAAAAAAAAAAAAACAACAACAAAAAACTAAGCATCTTTGAAATTGTGATGTATGACAGTAGGAATTAAACCATCTAGAGCTTTGCTACTTAAAGTGTAGTCCTCAGGAGAATCATAGCATTGGCACCACTTGTTAGAAATAAAGAATCTCAGGCCGGGCATGGTGGCTCACACCTGTAATCCCAGCACTTTGGGAGGCTGAGGTGGGCGGATCATGAGGTCAGGAGATTGAGACCAGCATGGCCAACATGGTGAAACCCCATCTCTACTAAAAATACAAAAAAAAAAAAATTAGCCGGGTGTGGTGGCATCCGCCTGTATTCCCAGCTACTTGGGAGGCTGAGGCAGGAGAATCACTTGAACCGGGAGGCGGAGGTTGCAGTGAGCTGAGATTGCACCACTGCACTCCAGCCTGGACGACAGAGAGAGACTCCATCTCAGAAAAAAGAGAAGAAAAGAATCTCAGGCCCTACCTCAGGCTGACTGAATTAGAATCTGCATTTTAATATCCCTGTGTGGTTTCTGTGCATAATGAAGTTTAAGAAGCATACATCTCTAGACTAGAAGGGAAGGATTCCCCTGCGCCATCCTTAAAGGAGATTTATCCAGCCTTTGCATGAGCCCTTGAAGAGTTTACTGCTTTGCAAGACAGGCTCTTTATTTGCTAGATTCTTTGTTAGATTTATTTTATGAACACTTACATAGCGTTTGTTATGTATCAGGCACTGTTCTAGGCCCTTTACAAATAAGCATTTAATCCTTATTCTAGCCTTCGAGGTAGGTACTCTGTATTATTCCCATTTTACAGAATGGGAAACAGGCACAGAGAGGTTAAATAATTTGCCCCAAATCATTCTGCCTACAAAGAGCAGAGCCAAGACCTGAACGCAGGCAGGCTGGCTCCAAACCGTCTTGCTCTCATCTCTGACGCTGTACTGCCTCTGATTGTTAAGCATGTCTCTATACTGAGCCCAAATCTACCTTCCTCCTTGTAGAGTCTTCCCATTTGTCCTCATTCTGTCCTCTGAAGCAGTGATAGCAATTTGTGTGTGGCTTACAGTTAACAAATGCTTGTACATATGCATTAGCAAAGCAAAATACCTTTTTTTCTTATACGTGTTCCTTCAAATATTTGAAAATGGCCATCATATGCTAACAATATCTAACTCCTTCAACCCTCCTCAAATCATTGGTTTCTAGAAAGAGTGTTTTTTAAAATGATGAAATACTTTAGGCACAGAAATCTGAACGGAATAAGTAGTCATGTTATTTGCCACCTAGGTAAAGAAATAAAACACAGGCCAGGAGCAGTGGCTCACGCCTGTAGTCCCAGCACTTTGGGAGGCCAAGGCAGGAGGATTACTTGAGCTCAAGAGTTGGAGACCAGCCTGGGCAACATGGTGAAACCCCATCTCTACAAAAAAAATAGACCACATACCTGTGGTCCTAGCTACTCAAGGGGCTGAGGTGGGAGGATCACTTGAGCTGGGGAGGTTGAGGCTGCAGCAAGCTGAGATAGTGCCGCTGCACTCCAGCCTAAGCAACAGAGGGAAACTCTGCCTAAAATAAAATAATAATATAATACTGTAGATAAAAGCCCCCTGTGTATCTTTGATGATCTCACTCCCTTCCATTTCCTGATGTAACCATTACCCGAATTCGGTGTATATTATTCCCATGCATTATTTTCCGCGCATGTTTGCATTCTCTGTTTTGCATATTCTCTATATCTGGTATCATACTGAACATATTCTTCTATAGATGCTTTTTCTCTTCAATATTATCTTTAATGATATTAATCCATCAATACATTAGCTTTTTAATTTATTAATATTTTAATTGATAAAATTTTATACATTAATGGGGTACAATGTCATGTTTTGAGAGATTGTGTATCTATATACACGCGCGCGCACACACACACAATGTGGAATGATTAAATCAAGCTAACATACTCCTCACCTCACTTATTTTTTGTGGTGAGGCATTTGAAATTTACTCAGCTATTTTGAAATACATAATACTTTTTATTTACAATAGTCATTCTGCCATACAATAGGTGTCAGATCTCCTCACTGAAACTTTATACCCTTTGACCAAAAACTCCTCATTCCTCACTCCCCTCCCCAGCCTGTGGTAACCACCTCTGCTCTCTACTTCGATGAGTTCAATTTTTTTAGATTCCCCATGTAAGTGAAATCGTGCAGTATTTGTCTTTCTGTGCCTGGCTTATTTCACTTAGCATAGTGTCCTCCAGTTCCATCCATGCTGTTGCGAATGGCAGAATTTCCTTTTTAAAGGCTGAATAGTGTTCCAAATATATCACATTTTCTTTATTCATTTATCCACTGACAGACGCTTAGTTTGATTCCATATCTTGGCTTTTGTGAATAATACTGCAATGAGCATGGGCGGGTAGATACCCCTTCAACGTATTGATTTCAATTCCTTTGGATGTATATCCAGAAGTCAGATTGCTGGTAGTAGGGGTTTTTTGTT